TACGTTGAATAACCTGTGTTTAATGTGTCCGGGATGCATATATAGATTTTTTTGTCAAATTTGTTTGTGGTAAATAATTTATCCCCCTCCATGCCACAGTTATGAAAGCCCCCTTCCTCTTAAACTCATGCTTTTAGAAATGAGAATGCTACTTTACATATGATAACTGCATCCATGTTTGTTTACTGATGATTTTGACAGCAGACAATTTTGCATCACAACTCGTTTGGCAAATTTGTTGGTGCTAAAGTACTTATTTTGTTTAATACACTAGAAGCAGAAAAGGCTCATGAGTTTTCAATTATTTATATTAAATCATGAAAAACTGTTTTTAGACCCTGTCCTTGAAAAGAACGTTTTCTATTCTACAGTGTTATCTTTTGCTGTACAACCCCTTCAGTAATTTAGGGTCACCATTATCATAGTGTCAGGGTATCAAGATTTCTATTTTTTATTATTGTTTGTTTGTTAATTTGTTCCTCTACTTGCAAATTAAGTTGCATTCATGAGCATGAAAGTTTGTCTAACCTAGAGCTGATTGTACAGTGATACTTGTCTCAGGTCAGGTTAGACTTTTCTAACGGTGTTCAATTGTATCTTACTGGAACAGACTTAATGGCAGAGTTTTCCTTTCATCAATGAAAATTCTAGTTTTTCTTAATATGCACAAGGTGATTAAGATGTTTCATAGAATTAACTGAAACACTTTTTCCAGCTTGTTTCACTTAAGGTGGAGAGAACAAAACTGCATACTGACTGTTGCTGAATGCCCGTGGTTCCTTGCCTGCCCGCAGTGAAGATCACAGTGCCAATCCATTGATAGGGGATAGGGTCCCAAACAGCTGCTGTAGCTGCAGTGATCTGCTGTTTCACTGCATTGAAGAGGGAGGTTGAATAGCTGATTCACCCCTTTGGCCGTTTGACCTTTTTCTCTGTCCCTGGGCAAAGTTGATCTGCTCCAAGAAAAAGATTTTTGACCAACATAGAGCAGGAAACAAAGGAAAGAGCTACGATGCATGCCTCTAAGGGATTTTTAAAATTTATTTAACTCTAAAGGTGTTACTGCTAAAAATTCCTATTCCAGTTAGTGAAAGCTCATCCTGACTACAAAAACTTTTAGATAATAGAAAGCACTTGCTTTAGATTTCTTGTTTAGTTTTTAGTGGAAATTTCAAAGAAACTGTTCTAAAAATATTAGAACACATGCATGCATGTGTCCCGTGGCCCGAGTCAGGCCAGGACAGTGCAGGATGCTTGCTACCATAGAGCAAGCAGAGAAAAATATTCATAACTTATTATTTTGTGTGTGCAACAAGGAATTGGTTTTCAGAGGAAAATAGGAAATTCATGCCCTTACTAGGTTTTTATAGCTCCTTGCTAGCCTCTGAAGTATTTCTCTGTAGCTATTAGATGAGGAAGAGGGGTATATGCTTTCGGCGTTTGGCTTCCTGCCACTCACAATTACTTTTTTCTCTAGGGTATCCTTGATCAGTGTATTTTATATTGAAAAGTTTGTTGGGAAGCCTGAGCAGGGATGACAGGCTTACTGAGAAAGATCTGTTGCCTGTTGATTTTGATGATGGAGAGAAAAGCAGATTTTTGCGTAGATGCTCTGACAAGTCCACCTGATGTTTTTGGAGTTAGAAATCTTACAGCCATTAGCAAAAGCCTGTTACAGCATTAACTAGTGCTAGCATGAAAAGAAAGAACCATCATATGAGCTCTTCAGTGAAAAGGGATTTGTCTCTTGAAATGTAATTGGGCCTCCTGGTGTCTAACACAGATGACAGTGCTAGTGCCAATTAGAGCTTGAATTTCCTTGACTAGTATTCTGAGAATATTGGTGGTTAGTGGTATATATTTTTTTTCTCTTAATCTTTCTGTAAATTTACCCTGTTGAAAATATTTCAAAGTTGTTTGTTAACTGCCAGCTTACAGAGATCATAACAATAATGGTGTTCTTAGGAATGTGCAATATACTTCTGCAGTATTGACTGTCAGGTGATTTGAGATGTAAAATCAGTAGTCGGTTTACAGAGGAAAAATAGGCAGCTCATAGCATACTATAATATTACAATCTTTAAAAAATCCTGGGGTTTTCTTGTTCAAATAATTCTCAAATACTTTATAGTACTATTAAAATCCCCTTTGATTCTGAGGTCTTCAGGAAAAAAAAAAATCAATTACCTACTAAGTATGGGGAGAGCTATCAAAGATCCCTTTCCAAGAAGCCATTCAATATTGCCTTTTGATTAACTTGTACTATTTTTTATACATAGGGAAATTCTGTGCAGAACTTTGCAGGTGCTGGAACAAGTAGAGAAAAGTGAATCATTTTTTTGTCTGATCTGGAACTAGAAAAATCAGCAACAACAAATACCTTTCTTCCTCCTGGTCACTACAGATATCAGTAGAGTAAAACTTCATAAAACTAACTTTGGTTGAACATCACTAGTTGCTGAAAAGAGCGTAATTCTTTAGCAGGTCTCATAGAAGTTTGTTTTAATGAAAAAATTAAATATATGTAGCTAAGTCATGCCCAGGGATAGGAGTATGTTTTAGGCTCAGGTGGATAGGATGAAAAGAGATGTAAACCACTGGAAGCTGATAGAAGATATTGGGAAAAATTGCATAAGGATCTGCATTCTGAAACAAAATGGTGAGACACCTTGAATATAAAAATAAGCAGTTTAGCTATGAGAGTGGGACTGATATTTATTTATTTTTAGTAATGCTTGGAAGGAGGCACTGCCCTAAAGAGAGAGGGAAGTTTCTGTATTAGTGTTGCGGTACGGTATAGATAGAATGATCTTTTTCAGTGGCATTATGTTTTCTTGGTGCCACTGCCTGGCAAAGAGAACAGCAAAATTCTAATTTCTGAGCCAAATGGTCTTTATGGAGCGAACTCTCATTTCTTTCCACTGATGAGATGACGTTTCACTTAGCACAGTGCACCAGTGCTGAAAGACCACAAAGTGATCTTGGCCTCTTACATCTTAAATCTGTGATTTCATGGAAATCATATTAGGACTTTAGATGTGAAGAGAAGCTGCAGTTATGATTCATTAGTATGAGATTTTTACAATAATGACTGACTTGTGAGCAAGTAGACTACTCCTAACTTAAATTGCTACTACATTGTCATATTCTTTTTCTTTGCATTCTGTGAGTATGTGCCAATTCAAAAATTCAATGAGTCATTTGATTGGTTACTATAAACTTGTGTACAGTTATCTTTCACCTTAATTTCAGTAATGATTAGAGTCTACTTAGGAAATTCTTCCAGAAGATACATAGTATGGTTTCCTCTTTTAGAATTTTTAGAATGAAATTATGAAAGCTTACTTCTTTTCTGGTTTGCAAAAGAAGCATGCCACCATAGGATGTTCTTTGGGTAAGTTTTACCCAGTGAAATCTCTTTATAAGCTGGTAATTTACTTTCTCTCATGATGTTATAGAAGTTTCACTGCTGTCTGTAAATTCAGCTGTTCAGGTTTTAATTTTTTTTCTGTTATATGTGCTCATAGTTCACTACTTTTTCTGAGAAAAGATTACACCGTTTGAAGGAGGGGGGAAGTGTCGGGGGGGGGGGGGGAAGACATGGTGTCTAAATTTTTTTTTCCTATAGCATCAGAATTTGATAGTGGTTGATTCTGGGATCATACTTAAGAGAAAAAACTTACCTTTGGGTGTTCAGTGGTATTCCTTGGTATTACTTGTTAGGGCAGCTCATACACTTGCCTTGCATTGTGGTCATTTGTTTGAATAAATGTCATCATTACATTAATTAATATCTTACTCTTCATAAAAACCCACAACATTTCCTCTCTAAATTTTCAATAGTGAGCACCTCTTTCATATTTAATACACTCTGAAAATCAGTTTAGAACAAGAGACTAAAGGAATGGAATAAACCTCTTTAAATCCTTTATTCTGTTGTGCGAGATAACTGGATGGACCCAAAGTTTTATGTAAGAATCCAGAAAGTTGCTTAAATCTAGGCAACACAGGTTTCACCTTACTGTGTGGAAGCGTTGTTGGATACCCCCAAACTCCAGTTGATGGTGGAGCCCAGTGTAGCAGAGTATGGTTTTCAGCAGACCTGAGCTGGAATGAAGATTCAGGCGGAGAGTGGACTAATGTGAACTTGGTACATAGTCCTGCGTGCCGCATCTTGTCATCCATGGTGTTTTCCACTGAGTGTGTCTGGCAGAACTTTGTCAGAGCCATGAAGTACAGTGTGTCCTGTCATGCCAAGCCTCAGGCCACTTGCACAACAGACAGCTCTGGACTTTATGATGGACACTCCTCTCCTTATTGAGGACTGATCCAGCAGTCTCCAGTAGGAGAGGCCCTGCCCCCTGCAACTTAGCTTTGAAATGCTTATAGGAAAGTGGCTAAACTGTTTACATCTTCCCATAAAAGTGCAAATTGTCAGACTGTCTACATGACAAGGTATGTTCTAACAGTTTAAGCAAAGTGAATGTTCCTTGATTGATTTGCTATTTTCTGTAGAATGTAAATCTTCAATATTTTCTGTCTTTTCTCAAGGACTTCATGATCCTCACTTTAAGGACTGAGCCCTGAATCCTGTCTTGTGTCCTTCTACTTAGTGCCCAAATGAGGAGAGTGCTTTAGACGGTATCTGAAGTGTTTTAACTTCAGTGGATCCCTGCTGGCCTCAAGCTGTCTGTGATTCCTGGTTCTCAGTCAGTCCTTACAAATACAAGAAAATCTTGGGCTTTTGGTTCCCTTTGCAGCACAGTGGCACAACTGTGTTTCACGCTGTGCAGGTGGCAGTAGGAAGTGGTTCTCTTGCTTCAGGGAACAACTTCTGACTGTCTCAGAGCAGCTGCAGCTCTGACACCTCAGGGACAGGCTGCCTTCAGCAGCTTATCCTTCCTGGGCTTGGCTGTGGAAGGGTTTAGTTCCAGCTTTCTGCCAGCTCTATCTCTGCACAGGCTGGAAATTGCTTTGCAAAGATGTCAGTCAGACTCTGCATGGCGGCTGCTCCTTCTCCTCCTCTTGAACAAGATTATCCCTTGGCTCAGCTCACAGGGTAAGGTGGTGTCACCACTGGCTGAAGCACTGTTAAACTCGTAGCTGAAGCTGCCTGGGCTCTTTCGTCCGCCAGGCAGAAGAGGCATGCCCTTGTCTTAATTCCAGAATGGTTCTGTGCTGGCATCTTTGAAGGCTGCTTCTCTCAGTCCCTATCTGGCTGTGGGCTACAAACTCTTGAACTAACTTACTGCCTTGTGCTTTGTTGATGTTTCTGTTACTATTTTAAGGTTGATGGTGCTTGTGCTCCAGTGGCTTTTATAAAGAAGCCATGTGAGGAAGGAAACAATGTGGCTTTTTTATAATGTATTTCTACATTTTTTCTTTTGAAATTTTGTGCTCTTTCAGAAAAGCATCTCTAATAATGAAATGATGGAAGCTGGTACTTACTTTGATGATAGCTACTGAGTTAATTCCCCACCTCCACCTCGCAGAAAGCCCTTGGTATGCTTTCCAGTCCAATAAACAGTTTAATTAACATTGTTGACAACAGTTGTTCTAAGAATAATAAATTTCCCCTGTTTGTTAAAATAGAAGTATTTCTTTGTTTGCTCCCTTGAGAGTGATGGAGATGCATTATAGATCGTAGTAAGAATTGCTTGTAGTTTTCATACTCGGAAGGTTTGGAATTCCTAGCCCCGGGATTAGTTTCTTTTTTGAGATGGACTAGCCTGTTAGAACCTTTGAGTGGCCCTGTTTGTTTTAATTTTATGCCATTTACTTATACCTTTTAGTTGTTTTTGTAAATACTTGTCAATAAAAGTGTATGTGATGTGCTACATTCTGTAGATAAAACCAGCTTTGTTTGAATACCTTTTTTTTTTCCCCCCAGTTAACTGTATTATTTCCCCAGCCTTTGTTGTATTAACTGATACTTTACAAATTAAGGATGTTCTCTTTAGCAGCCTACGTTACCTATTATGTTAGAAAAATCAGTTAAGTATATTAAATCTTCGTAATATCAGAAATAATTGTAGATGCATATGGGAATAATTTAGTGCTCTTAATACATGAAGTAGTGGTTTTCATAAAAATATATCATTAATACATAATTTACCTTAATAGCAAGTACATATGAAGGAAGATTAATCACGGTCAGTGTTAGCACAATATATTGTGCTCATGCAAGTGCCAGAAGCTATGCATTATGAATGCTGATTAATCTGGGAAATAAACTAATATAAGAGCACGAAGCTGCATGTCAGTTACTGCAAGTATATTTAGGTGAGCTTTTGATTTAATCCTGCAAACTAAGTGCTGCAGGTGAAGTGAGAAGCTTCCATCTGTAAAGTTTATAGTGAGATTTAATAAAAAGGCCTAGGGTTTTAGTCGCTGGAGGTTTAGTGCATTTCACTAAGTGTGGTAATCTGCTCATCACAATATTCAGCTTTCCTTATAAAGGAGAGATTTCAGATGTCTCCATCCTGTATATATTGCTAAGCAGTAATCAAAGGGGAGATGCTGTTTAACCAAATGCAAAATATTCAGGTTGATTTTTTCTTGTTACATAGGTGTTTTCCTATATATATATATACACACATAGTGTGTGTGTGTTTTTTTTTTTTTTTTCTTTTTCCCCTGGCAGCAGGGTACAGCAGCTTATTGCAAAGATCATGCAGTTAGATCTGTCATGTGATGCTTCTACCTCTGTGCTGCACATAATATTTATATATAGAAAGCATTCACTAATCTACCTCCATGAGAGGTATAGTTTGCTTCAGTTGCTAGTTAATCTGATTTTTTTTTCTGGCCTGAGTAAGGGAATAGCCTGTCACCTAGCTGCTTCATTCCCCATGTCTATCTGATGTACATGCATAGGCAAGCACACAACAGGTTTGTTGTCTGCAGGCCAGCAGAAAAATTAGATCGTACAAGTAAGAGTCATAGTATGCTTCAAGTGCTATTTCTTCTAAAGAGGAGTGAGTACACATTAACAAAGTGACAAACCCTTGTAAAGTAGCTGAAGGAAAGGGATTTCTTGTTTGATCCTAAGCTTTCTTGGCGTTTTTTTAAAAGACAAAATAAAATGTTTAAAAAAAAAACTGTAGAGTGTGTGGTGCATTTATAGAACAGCTATTAATTCTTTTTATTACATCATGTACTACTTAAACATTAAAAAGCTTTTTTCATTTTTAACCTGTGGGCTAGAAGTGTGGTAAAGGAACGTAAAGACAAGAAAATGGAGCTGTGCTTTTATCATAATAACTGGGGACTACTGACTTGTATGTCGTCTGAGGCTATGCATATGTAGTGCTACGCAAGGAGACGTGAGCTTGCTGCCTCTGACTGCTGACTCAACAGGAAGCTGCCTGAATGTCACTGGGTCAAAACTAGCAGTGCCATCCATAAGCTAACATAGCTTCCTACCAGTATTAGTTTTGACTCTGTGATATATTAGTATGCTCTCGGGGTTTCTAGTCACTGTACACATTCTTTAAAGCTTCCAAGTGGTGCAAACATCTTTAGTCCCACACAACAACTATGAAGGTTTATCCCAAAAAAAATTATTCATTCTAGCTGAACTGGAACAATACCCTCCCTGCCTCACATTGCTTTCAAACAATTCCAAAACCAGGCTTGGCTGTAAATTAAAGTCACATTTTAGAAAAGCAGCTTTCATGGGATGAAAATCCTTTATAGTTTGCCCCAAACTATAATTTTGAACAAGTGAAAAGTTTTATTTTGAACATAATTGTATACCAGATTTTTTAATTTTGATTGCATGGGAGGCATAAAAATGAGTTACACATGAAGTAAGAGTGAAACCCAAATGAAACTTATTAAAAACCCTTTTTTTGTAAAAGGGATGTTTTTAAACTAGCAGACAGTATTCTTTCTGACTTCTTGTTCTACTAATGGGTGCACCTCTGAGATTTTGATACCATTCCTTCCCAAAGAGAGACTGTTCCTGCCTTCCTCTGCTTTCCCAAAGAGGTGACAGTGGTCAGTGAGTTGCCTGAGTTTTTTTAATAAATCCAGACATTATTCTTGCTAGTCTCTTTCTCTCTAATGTGCTACTTATGGTGTTTATTGCATAGCTTTACTATATTTTTTTCCCCTAACTAAAGTAACTTTACTTTTAAAAGAATAGCTGATTAAATCACTTCTGCCTAATATGACAAAAAGTTTCCTATAGAACTTCTGTACAAGTAGAATATACCCTTGTTTCCCCAGTTTTTCCTGGTTTCTACTTTCCTGTCCTCTGAAAGAAGAATATTAGATTTCAAAGAAGAAACAGTGCCTGAAGAGCTGCCAAAGTATTTTGATAAGTAGTGGCATATTAGTAACAGACCTGAACTAATATCTGTTACTTTTGATAATTCTGTAGCAGCAGGCTAACTTACCAAGCATGTGCTATTGGTTATTTTTGGACTATAACACACTGGTCAGGTGAAAACTGATTTAGAAAATAAGGACATCCCCATCACTTATACCTAGATTCATTATATTTGCACAGTTTCTCAGAAGTTTCAAAAATATCATGACCCCTGTTCTGTAAGTTAATTGACACAATATGTTCAAACCACCACAATAACACATTTGTTGATCTAACAGGAAAGGTCATATTTGAATGAGCGATGTGTATTTTCATCTTTTTGAGGTTGCCCCCTACTTCCACTGAGAGTTGAAGAAATTGTCAAGGAGCCTAGTGAAAACTGTGCAGAAGCTTCTTTTATTTTATATTCTTCTGACCCCTATTTTCCACTCTCTCTCACCCCTGCCTTCCTGAGAAGAAAAAAGAAAAGGCTTTAAGTCTCCTTTAAGTCAGTCAGGCACTTATCATCTATATCATAGGTACAGAATAGCTATATCAGCTCTAAGAAAGCTTCCAGACATTATTCACTCTAAGCTAACTCAAGGATTTCATGGAGAGTCATCTTGTCTTTTTTTTCTTTTTTTTAATACTATTGAGTCTTTTTTTATTCTAATCCTTTTATCAGAATCACATCAACTGAATTTACCTGCTAATGTTACCCTTACCTTCTTTTGCTTTCCTTCTGCCTTCATTCACTTTCTACTTTGCTTTTTAGCCTTCCACTGCTGTTACCCACTCCTCTTTCTAAGAAATACTTTTTTGTTATCCCATGTGTGAATCCTGCTCTTTTCTTTGGAGTTCTTAAAACATTTGTGCCTAGGCAGCTTCCTTACTGACTTTGTATTCTTTAAGTTAACTTTTTTCAGGACAGGGAGTGTGTGTTTGTGCATTTGTATCATGCTCAACGCTGCAAGACTGTTGGCTATTAGTAATAATGCTTGTCATCCAGATGTTCCACTTGTAGAAGTAATGATTCAAATTCAAATGAACATTTTAGCCATTTTCTTCTGCTCTGAAAATAAAATGTTTAATCTGATTTGACTGACCACTTAGGTTACAAGCATGCATTTTTCAGATTGTCACAGATGAGTGATACACTTCAGTTGTAAGACAGAAGCAGTGATATGCTCTATTGAGGTGAGAAAGTGATTTGACAAAATTCGATGGTAAATAAGATAGTGGTTTAAAAAGATTCAGTGGCAGAGTTCACTTATTTACTGTTATTCACAAAAGTGTCAAGGAGATCTTCCCCTTGACTCATGAGGTTCAGAGTAGACCCTCTTGCTTTCCAAGCTCCTTCTCAGAGGAGTCTGGGTGTGGCTGGATCCAATCTTAGTCCCAGACTTGGTCAGTGGTTTATGTCTAGAGGATTATGTGCACAATCAATCCAAGATGCAACTTTGCAAAATTTGCAAAGTTCCAGCATGCTATTAGTCACTTACTGAGGATCTGTTGCACATAAGGAATCTCTTGACCTTGAGAAGTAACCTTGAGAGGTGTCCCTACTCAAGGGGAGATTCACTGCTGTGCAGCCAGCTGCTGTGCAAGAGAGCTCAATGGGCCCTGGGCTCCCCCCTATTTATGGGCTAAGATAACTGACTCATAGTCTTGTTTGCATGCCAGCCATATTTTGGTTGATGCATGCTCAGTTAGGCCTTGGCTATTGTGCTGTTATCAGTCTCTCC